CCCCCCCCCTCTCTTCCACACGAGTCCGGGGCTTTGGCATCTCAGATTGGAAGTATGCTCCCTTAGTATTTCCCCTAGGCCAGAGACATTTGGAAAAAGGAGTTAATGTGGTTGGCCCTGGATCTTGCATACTGCTGTTTAAAAAGAAAAAAAATTTAAGCTTATTTATTTAGAGACAGAGCGTGAGCAGGGGAGGGGCAGAGAGAGCCGGAACGAGGGAGAATCCCAAGCAGTCTCCACACTGCCAACGCAGAGCCCGATGTGGGGCTTGAACCCACAAAACCGTGAGATCATGACCTGAGCTGAAACTCAGTGTCAGGCCCTTAACCTTAACCGACTGAGCCACCCACACGCCCTTGCATAATGCTGTTTATATGTAAACTATCCCGGAGCCTGCTGGGAAATGGCCCTCCTCTTCGGAAATGCAAGGAATCTTATAGGGAGCTATATAGTGTCATCCCAGTAAGCCAGCTGGGATTCCAGCAAATGAGATCTCTGTTATTTGTTTTAGATTTTTGGCTTCGTGGTTTAATAAAAGGTTCTGTTACAGTTTGTAAAATATTATCCTTGAGAGGCTTGCCCGTGGCCTGAGGCCCCAGGGTGGGGATGAAGGGCAGAGGAATGCGTTGGTGTGGCTGGGGCCTACGTCCCCCAGTGCAGGCACCAGAAGGGAACCCAGTGGCCCAGGCCTTGGTCAGAGCTCGGCCACTGTGTCCCCCGGCGGTCTGGCCCACTCCAACCCTTGGATTCTTTAGTTGAGGAGAGAGGAGATTGGACTGGTTCAGGGGCCCTGAGGCCTTTTAAAGTGATCGACCCCTCTCATCCAACCAGATCTCATGTCCCAGAACAAGCAGAGTGCTGGGTGGGCCACTTAGGTTGGGGTGGCAAGCACTCACCGCCCCCCCCCCCAGCATCGGGTGCCCCGAGCCCCGGGGCGATTCTGAGTTTCTGGCCACGTGGGTTCTGTGTTGGGGGGGAATGGGACTCAGCGCCGTTTGCCTTCTTTCCTTCCTCCGCTCCCGCGGGCCCGCAGCATGGGGAGAATTTCCGCATGGAGATCTTCGAGGGGTGCAACTTCACCGGCCAGTGCCTGGAGTTTCAGGACGACTGTCCCTTCCTGCAGAGCCGGGGCTGGGCCAAGAACTGTGTCAACGCCGTCAAGGTGTATGGGGACGGCGCGTGAGTAGAGGCCGCAAGGCTGCCGACCGTGGCCCAGCTGGGCCCTGCACAGCCAAGTGTGTGGGGAGGCCGCCGGGCGGGCCCGACCCCAGCAGCAGGGGAGGCCCGGCACCCCCTCAGCTGCCTCCTCTACCCCAGTCAAGCAGCGGGGAGGCTTCCTCCGTGGCTCCAGAAGGCCGTGGTGAGGAGACATGGGGCCCCAGAGGTAGGCCTCCCCAGTGGGAGCAGACGTAGCAGGGCCCTTTGCGGACTAACGGTTCTCTAAGATTAGACTGAGCTCGGGGACAGTACTTTGGTCCGCTCGAACCAGAGGAAGCCCGCTCACCCTGCACACCCCGGTCCTACTCGGCCAAGGGGACCCCTGAGCTGGAGCTCTCCTACCGAGCGGGCAGACCCCTGCCACACAGCCCCTCCGGGGAGCTGGACGTCATGGCGGCTCACTTCCAGTGGACAGGTTGTGGCCACGGGGGTTCTGCCCAGGGCGTGTCTGCCCTGCTCCTGGAGAGTGGTCAGGACCCCCGTGCTGGCCTGGCTTCTGCCAGCCCCCCGTATAGTCAGCTCCTCCTGTGAGCCAGTGGGTAGCGTCATCTCCGTTTACAGAGGAGACAGCGGAGGCTCCGAAAGTGACCTGGCCCCCGCTTGCTCGCTCGTGAACGGCACAGCGGGGGCGGCAGCCAGGCGTCAAGTCAGAGTGTCCCCGGTGTGGAGCAGGGAGCCTCCCCTGACCTCAGTCCTGGCCCCTCTGCAGAAGAGCCCCACGTGGGTTCCGGGAACGTGGCTCCCGTCACAGCAGCCAAGGGGTCCAGTTGCTGTCTGCATGCCCGAGGTGGGGGATCAGGGCACGTCGCGAGAGGTTCAAGAGTGGTCACGGGAGGGACTGAATGGAGGTTGTGGCTGAGCCAGAGGGAGCACTGGACCCCTCGCCTCCCCGGGCCCCCCCACCCAGGGGGGTTCTCTCCTCCTTCCCAGAGTCCCAGGGGGCTCAGCTCCCTCCCTGCTATTTCTCTGTCACTCTGACTCTATCCAGGGTTCCTTTTCTGCTGTCTGCCTTTCTCTGCCTTTCAGAAATGTTTGCCCTCAGTTGAAGGCCTCTGGGAATCCGGGGGTAGAATTCCAGAACAACAGTTTGCCTGGAAAACGACCGGCTAAATTATGTCTCGTGAGGCCAGAGTCATACCTTTGCGTGGAAGGTGTCCTGAGACCCCAGCCACAGTCCCCCAACACCCACCCTGGGAAGACTCCAGGGGCCTCTTTAGGAAAAGGGGGCGGGGGAGGGTGGGAGCTAAGAGTTTTGAGTGCAGGGGCCCGGGGTCTCCCGGAGCTCCCGCCTACTCAGCGGCTGTGTATGGCCAGCCCCACATCTCACCCGGGGCTCTGCTCTCCTCCCTACGGGGGTTCACCCTTTGCTCCTGTGACTACCTTTAAAAAAAAAAA